GCAAGTCAAATGAAAAAAATAATGTGCTTTTTTAGTTGAGTTGGGAAAGCCTAGCCATCTTTGGGCCTAAGCTATTTTTTCCTGTGTTTTTGTGGTTGGAACAATCCTAACTACTCTTTCTTTCAATTTAAAGTATGAATTTAAGCCATTCTGAACAGATGCATGGTTTTTAAGCCATTTTACACTATTCTCCTGAAACTTTAAAATACTCTTTTTCTAGTATTTAGTGAGGGGTAAATTTTTAATCACTAATTTCTGTATCTTTCAAAATTATTTAACAAATAAAGAAATTCTACAGTTTAAAAGATAGCTATCTCTGTACATGTAGCCACCCTTTTTTGTTCCTTCTAATTGACTCTTTAAATATATATATTGTCTTATTGAAAAGGTTTATCTTTGGTTTTCTCTTTTTTCTCCTCATCTTGAGGTAAAAGCAAAAATGTTTTTCGCTTGAGCATTTGCTCCCCTGGGTCTACATTTTCTATTATTTTCTGTCACAGATTCCATTCTCCTACTCTGTCCACAGAAGCCCAACACTCCCCACTCACATTTCACCAAGAATGAACTTGAGTTTGAAAACTAAACATAGTCAAGAAAGATGAGGATAATTCCATCACTTTTTAGTGAAGTTTCAACAATTTGCACAAAATCTGATTTTGGAGAGACTTTTTGCTCTGAGCCTTCAAAATGTTTTTATGAATCAGAGCAGTCACTGCAGGTTTCATTCATTCATTCACTAAAATTTCTACCATGTACCAGGCACAGTTTGAGGGGCTCAGAACATTTCAGGAAATAAATAACAAATTCTTGCCTTTAAGGTGCTTAGATTACAGACAGGGAGAAAGAGAAAGGAAGATGATATAAAGAAAATCAGTAAGGAAATAATATCTTGTATTATTAAAAAATGATTAAGGCTAGGGAGAAAACTGAAGCAGGAAGAAGGATGCCAAGTCCTAAGCCAGGTTGGGGTAGGGGCTATAATACTACAGATAAGCAGGGGTGGGGGTTCCAAGGACTCCCCCATTCACCTGTCACTGTGTACTCAATATTGTATTCAATATTACCTAAATCCTTAAATTAAAACAAAGATTAAGAAAGCATCTTTCATAGACAACTCAACAGAAGTTAAGCAAAGTAATAATTTTTCCCACTTTTATACCTGCTCTCTGAGAGGCAGCATTGGTCAGATGGAGGCAGGGGTTAACATCACCTCTAATCCTATTTCTGCTTTAAGAATTACATAAACTTGTGTAAGTTATTCAACCTTATAATCCTCTTCTTCACTTTAAAATAAGAATAATAATTCTGATCTGATAGTATTACTCTGAAAATATGTAAAAACAATAAAATATAAATATTAAAACATTGTGGGTAATAACAGAATGTCTGGAATTTGCTTTAGAACACTTCAGAAAAGAAAGTAAGAAAAGTGATAGAAAAAAAAAAAAGGGTAGGCAAAATGTAGGGATTTTTGAAGCCCAGGGATGGGTATATGAGTCCACTATATTATTGGACCTTTTTTAATATTGAAAATTTCCATAAAAATGTATTTTAAGGAAAGGACTAAACTTGAAAAGATACATACTTTGAGAAAGTTTATATAACAACTAAAAAAAAAGCATATAGGAACACCAACTTAATTTGTATAAATATCCTATAAAACTAGCAAAAACTGGATTTCTTTACTGAGAACTTGCTAACCTTCTGGACCAATATTAGATACTTTCCAAACTTTCTTCTAACATCCTAATTTGAAAAAAATGATGACTTCATACTTTATTCATTGTAAGAGGATCCAGGTGGTGAAAAGAAGGTGGAGTAGGAAGGCAAGGCAGAAACCTCCTCCCATTTATACACCAAGGACGCAACCACAGCAAATACAACTAACCCTGAAAACCACCTGAGGGTTGCAGAACAGACCATCTACACCTGGTGAGGGAGAGGAACAGAATGGGGATGGGATAAGTGCTCAGGAATCAGCACACCTGGCCCTGGATATCTGCTTCAGGAAACAAGTCCACACTAAATTTGGCTTTGGGATTAACAGGCTGGGCACCAGGGAGAGTTGGAGCACTGTGAGGAGTCCAGACTCCTGTCCCTTTGAAGATGGAAATGCTCTTTGCATCCCACTGAGATCCAACACACAGGCAACAGTTTGAAATATTTACCAGCAGTGGGATGTGTACCAGAGGAGCAGGGGAATACTTTCAAATTCATTCTATGAGGCCAGCACCATTCTAATACCAAATCAAAGACAACATGGAAAAGAACATTTGAGATCAATATTCCTGATGAACATAGGTGCAGAAACCCTCAACAATATTATCAAACTGAATTCACATCAAAAGGATCATTCAACATGACCAAATAGGATTTATTCCAAGGATGCAAAGATGTTATGATATTCATAAGACAATCAATGTGATACACCACATTAACAAAATGAGGGGGAAAAAAAGACGATCATCTCCATAGATGCTGAAAAAGCATTTGACAGAATTCAGCATTCATTCATGATAAAAACTCTCAACAAAATGGACATAGAGGAAACAGACCTCAACATAATAAAGCCCATATATAACAACCCCACAGCTAACATCATGCTCCATATTCAATGGAGAAAAGCTGAAAGCTTCTTCTCTAAGATCAGGAACAAGACAAAGATGCCCACTCTCAGCACTTCTATTCAATATATAGTACTGGAATCCTAGCCATGGCAATCAGACAACAAGATACAGAGATAAAAGGCATCCAAACTGGTAAGAATGCAGTAAAACTGTCACTGTTTGCAGATGACATGATACTATACACAGAAAACATTAAAGACTCCACCAAAAAACTGTTAGAATAAGGGGAATCAGCAACTCACAGGATACAAAATCAATATACAGAGATCTACTGCATTCCTATATACTAACAACAAACCAGCAGAAAGAGAAATTTAAAAAAAAATTTCATTTACAATTGAATCAAAAAAATAAAATGCTTATAAATAAATCTAAACAAGAAGGTAAAAACCTGTAGTCTGAAAACTCTAAGACACTGATGAAAAAAATTGAAGACACAAATAAATGGAAATCTATCCCATGCTCATGGATAGGAAGGATTATTATTGTCAAAATGGCCATCCTGCCCAAAGCAATTTACAGATTCAACACAATCCCTATCAAAATACCCATGGCATTTTTCAATTAACTAGAGCAAATAATCCTAAAACTTAAATGGAACCACAAAGACCCTGAATAGGCAGAGCAATATTGAGAAAGAAGAAGAAACCTGGGGGGATTATGCTCCCCGACTTCAAGTTAAACTACAGAGCTACAGTAATCAAAACAGCATGGTACTAGGACAAGAACAGACCCACAGAGCAATGGAACAAAACAGAGAGTCCAGAAATAAACCCATGCATATATGGTCAATTAATGCATGACAAAGGAAGCAAGAATATATAATAGATAAAAAAGACAGTCACTTCAGTGAATGGTGTTGGGAAAATTGAATAGCTACATGCCAGAGAATGGAACTGGTTACTCCCTAACACCACACACAACAGTCAAAACAGATTAAAGACCTAAATGTAAGATATGAAACTATGAAACTCATAGAAGAAAACACAGGCAAAAATGTCTTGAACATAAACATGAATGATTTTTTTCTGGATACATCTCCCTGGGCAAGGGAAACAAGCAAAATATGTGGAACTACATTAAACTAAAAATCTTTACACAGCAAAGGAAATGATCAATAAAACAAAAAGGCAACTTACATTATTGGAGAATGTATTCATAAACAGTTTATCCGATAAGGGGTTAACATCCAAAATGTATAAAGAACTCATATACCTCAAGGCCCAAAAAACAAATAACCCAATTAAAAACTGAGCAGAGAACCTGAACAGACATTTCTCCAAAGAAGAAATACAGATGTCCAACAGGCACATGGAAACATGCTTCATATCCCTAATCATCAGTGAAAGGCAAATTAAAACCACAATAAGATATCACCTCACATCAGTTAGAATGGCCATGAAAAAGACAAGAAATAACAAGTGTTGGTGAGAATGGGGAGAAAAGGGAACCTTCCTACACTATTGGTGGGAATGTAATTGGTGCAGCCACTGTGCAAAGTAGTATGGAGGTTCCTCAAAAAACTAGAAATAGAAATACCATATGACCCAGTAATTCCACTTCTTTACCCAAAGAAAACAAAATCCCCAATTCAAAAGATTTATGCACCCCTATTACTTTACAATAGACAAGTTAGAGAAGCAACTGAAGTGTCCATCAATAGATGAACGGATAAAGAAAAGGTGGTACATACACACAATGGAATATTATTTAACCATAAAAAAAAATCCTGCCATTTGCCAAAACATGGATGGACCTAGAGGGTATTATGCTAAGTGAAATAAGCCAGGTGGAGAAAGACAAATAACATACGATTTCACTTATATGTTGAATCTAAAATCAAAACAAAGCAAAATGAACAGAACAGCAATAAACATAGACACTGAGAAGTGACTGGTGGTTACAATGGGGGAGGGGTTGGGGTGGGCAAGTGAAATAGGCGAAGGGAATAAAGAGGCACAAAATCTCAATTATAATATAAATTAGGGGGATGAAACTACAGCATAGAGAATATAGTCAATGGTTCTGTAACATCTGGCTATGTTGACAGATAGTAACTATAGTAGTTGGGTGAACATTTAATAATACAGTTAACTGTCAAATCATTACGTTGTACACTTGAAACCAATATAATTGTACATCAACTATACTACAATTTTAAAAAAGGAGACAATATAAGACAAAAAGGCAGAAAAGCATTATTGTGAAGCCTGCAGACTCTCCAGGTGATAAATGTATAATAGATTTTTGGAAGAAATTTTAGTATCATTTGCTGAATGCTTAAAAACAAGCATATAATGGAGCTCTAAATTGCTAATAAAAAACTTCGGCAATGCATTCTATATGATTATATCAAGAAACTTAAAAACTTACCAGATCAATATCTGTCTTTTTATAGGACAAAATTTCAACTTTGGAATCCAGTTCTCCTTGTATTTGGTCTCTTCTTTTCATAACATCCTTTATGTTAAAACACAAGGATGGAATAGGTTATAGTTAGTTTTAATAATCTTTGTATAACAAAAATATACATTTCAGAATATAAATAGCATCTCTTCCACAAGTCATGAGTCATTTGGGAATATAACGACTTAAAAACATTTTGATCTCTAAAAGCTGAACTGAAAGCAAGTATTTAGCAGAATTTTTTTCATGAGCCTTTTATTAGTTTTCCCAATGCACATCTTGCTGGTTTAATTATTTTATGCACAACTTTTGATAGCACACTCTAGGCATGCAGTTCTTCAGAAAGAGAAAAGAACAAAATAAGCAGTTGGAGCACTGAAAATATATGCTATGGTATAAACTGATTACATCTGGGAGGTCACATAAGCCACTCACCTGAAAATATCTATAATCAGTGGCTCTCTCTTATCTGACTCCAAGGGCATGTTAATCAGTCAATTACAGTGGGGTAAGGAATCATCAGGAAGTTGAAGTGTACGTTCAGATCTTAAGATTTTCTTTTAGCTTAAAATATATAAATATTAATCAATTAGCCAAGCTTTTGATGAGAAATCATGGCCTCCTCGCTGACTGATAGGAGTTCCATTTTGCTCTCTTGAATAACCATGATTTTATGTTTCAATGTCTTTCAACTTCAAACATCCTTGTGAAGAAATTTGAATGCAGAATTGTATAATGTTTTATGTTTGCTAGTCTTTTAAAATGTCTTTCCCTTGGCAACTCACATATCTTCCAAGACATTGTACTTAGGTTTCATAGACACAAGGAGTCTTTTTATATGTATTCATCTTTCCCTGGTTTTCATAGTACTAATTTAAATAATGAAATTATAATAATGAACACAAGTGTTCTAAACAGGTTCAGGAAAAAAAAAGAACAATTCAAACAGGGAGAGTAGAAGTACAGTACATAAACGAGAGGGCCTTCATGAGACACACATCTGTTGAGTGTTTTCAGAGGAAGAGAAGAACCTGGACACGAATCAGTTAAATGAAGCCTGATAAAGTGGCTCTACTATTTGTACGAGAATTGAGAGATACTAAGAACAAAAAGCATTGTGAAAACTACTCAGGCTACTTTTGTGCCTGGAGGAAATCAATAATGTAGCCAAAAAAATTGATGGAGACAAACAGGAGTCTCCTCAGCAGTGAAACATTAATAGAGGCTTTTGAGAAACAAGAAGGGTTTGTTTAAAGGACCCCAGTAAAGTTAAATAATAGCAGAAACCTGGAATATCCTCAAAATATTTAATGACTGTGAAAGGAAAACCTAAACATGAAAGAGACAGATCTCATGCTTAAAGGCTAAGAGTTTTTCTTACCAACACAGAAGCATAATTAAAAAAACAAAATCCAAAAAAATCAAGAGTACATGAAAACAGAAACCAGACATGACTACAATTATAGGTGGCAGAAGAAATGGCCTGTATCTTAATGTAAGCTGATTCCTTCCCCCACCACCACCCTAAAACACTAAAACCTTAGGATATCAATTTTTGCAAGGTATTGTGAGTTGAGGGTAGTACTGGATGAAAAACATTAGCTTTATAGATAGCATTGTTAAGTCCCAAATATGTAGAAACCTTAACTTGAACTGAGGTGAAATGCAAAGCTTTTATATAAGAGGAAGCCTTTTCAAGGAAAAACATTTTAATTTGAAGACTTCTTTTTAGAAGCATCCAGAAGGCAGAATGAACATCAAGATCCTACTCAAGTACTTTCTGTATAATGCTGCTAAATATATTGCTAAATCAAATGTACCTAGAAGCAGGAAAGCAATTCTTTCATGAAAGGGAATTTCTAAAGCCTGAAAAATGTTTTAAGTAAAATATTAAAGGTTGGAAAACTAATCATGTTCTCTATGTAAATCTTTATAAGGATGCTTCAGATCTGTGTATAATCTTACAAAATGTTGTTGCTGTTGAATATTTCTCATTAACATATGCATTAATTCATTAATTAAATCTCAGTCAACCAATATTTATTAAGCATCTTCATACACAGTGTCCTGCTAGAACAGGAAAAGAGTAATGAGAAAAAACAGAAATAAAAGCTGTCTTTATAAAGCTTATAATCAGGTCAAGGTCTAAGGTGAAAGCATAATTAGGTGCTCTTACCATTAACATTTCACTATAAAGCACATACTCATGTACGACAGGAAGAAGGGCCTCTGTGAGTCCAGACATCCTTTTTTCAGTGGCTTGACAGCTTTTGTCAATACAGCTGGCAACACCTTTTAGAATATCAACCAGATCTTCTTCTGACGCTGACCACAGAATATGAATTGGGCCATATTCTTTCATTTCATCAAAATATTCTAAAAAAAATTAAGTTTTACAGAAGTTTTCAAAATCCCTGTGTTACAGACAGTAAGAAACTTATTTTTCTCATTGTGCACCTGCTCTTATACATAAGCATAAAAAAATGGATATCATTTTTCATTAAATTGACCAGTTGTCCCAGTCTGCTCACATCAGTCCTTGAATGACTACTGTCCCGGTGTGATCAATAATAGCATCTTTTTTTTATTCTCAAAAGTGTTCTGGCTTAGAAGATAAATTATATGGCCACCATGTCTACCATGGACTTCTGCCTACCAAACTACCCAAGTGTCTCATAGGCAACAAAACCTAAATAAAACTTGTGTTCTTTCTCCCCTTCTCTTGATTACATATCCTACTTAACGGCAATTGCTTCCAGCAATCCAAGCAGAAGATTTGGGGGCCATCCTAGACTCATACCTGCATACAGTGAGTCAATCACCAATTCCAATATTTCTTAATATCTATCTATTTATCTCTCTGTCCATGCATACATATCCTTATCTACCTACCTACCAAACCTACCTATCTCTCTAGCCTCGGCTTCACTGTCATCAGCATCTCTAACCTGTACTGCTTCAGGGAATGTCTAGCTTTTCTCCTTCTTTCAGTTTTTGTCACAAGTATAAACATTGAAGCTTCTTAGCTGAATCAGAAATACCTTATGTTCAGTCCTTACAGTGCCTCTCTAGGTACAAATCTTGAGACTCTCTCCCAAAGACATTTTAATTCAAGCCAAAATAATTGCTCATTCATGAGTAGTTAATGATTTCTCCCAAATCAAACTGCCCATATCCTTTTGCCTTGTCCTCTATCATTTCTATTATCCAGCAAACAACTATTTTAATCCTTTAAATCCTACAGCACATATATCTCTTCTGATTCTATTCCAAAGGATTCTTGGAATTTTTTTGTCTTCAATAAGCCTGTCCTAACTGTATACTTCTATTATCCCACTCTACATTAATAGCTTGTGTAACTCACATACTTCTAGGCCATATGCTCCCTCAGACAGGGGCTGAGTCATTATTTTTTATCTCAAAGCCCGATGTATAATGTGTTCAATAAATATTTTCATTTTTTAATGAACATTTAAGACTATTCAATGCTTGATAAGCCATTTATTCAAAACTTTGCATTTCATCTTAAAATCTGAACATTACATTTTGCTTTCATACTATCAACTTTCAACAATAGTTTTTTATGGCAGAGAATATATAAGCAGTGAGCATTTTTTTTCTAACATCCATATAAATACAAGAAAGTTCATTTGTTTAATCATCTTATTACTCATCAGGGTTAGTTGAAATATATCATATTGCTCCAAATTAAACTATTAAACCTTCAAAAGTTTGTATGATCAAGTAAACTGAAAAAGATAAAAATATATATATCAACAATGAAAATATTAATTGTCACCCAATGAAAGTATCAGAACCCTTCCAAATACCACCCTCCTCATCTAGGCCTATCCTTTATTTTAAATAATGTCCATATGAAACTAGCATTTCTGGAAAAGGAAATATTCACCTTTATTTCTTTTTTCAATTTGTGTATATATCAATGTGTGTCACTGAACCTGTGCAGTATTTTTTATAGAGAGAGCTTCTCTAAATTCTAAGCTGTAGTTACATAGCAGTCTGATCACATTTATATGCAAACACTTAATGAGTTGCACTGTAATTTATCTCTTAATACATCTGTTTCCTCAACTAGACTGTGAGCTCAAGGACAAGTACCATCTTATTCTTCTTTTAATCTCCAGCACAGAGAAGCAGCACATGTGGTCTATACCAATTTGCAAATAAACTAGGAAACGTACAGTAAAACAAAGTCAAAGAAAAAAATTGAATAGAAAATAAAAAGAGAAGCTACTAGTTATGATCACCGAATTCTTCATTAATTAAATATGAATGAAATGCCCTATATAGCTTAGACTCACAAAGTTAGGAAAAAAAAGCATCCATTATTCTGAATGGAACCTTGACAGGTGGGCTTCACCTTCTAAAGACCAAGAAATCCCTTCGATTGGGGCCAGTGGCATTCACTCTCTGAAAATGAGAGCTCATATTTATAAATTTTATCACAAAACCCAGCTTTCTTCTGAGCATTTCACAAACATTAGGGTATATCAAAGATCTTAAAACTATCCCCTTAGCCCAGCAAATAAAAAACATTGATATTCAATAAAATACTTAGTATCAAGAGTTTCTAAGGGCCTCTTTGAATTGCTATCCCACTTAACTATGCATTAAGAATCTACTCAACAGAATTGGAATCACAGAACTTAGTTAAAACAATCACCTTCTTGAGATTAAAAAAAAAAAGACAAATGGCAAATAAAAGGGCAGACCAAGAAGGCTTAAAACAAATTATTAAACCATATTCAGTCACCACAATGACCTTACCAAGTATCAATGTGTAGAAAAAGAAAGACAGAGAAAGAGCAACAGACATTCAGCTACAGTAATCTTTTCTTTATCTTTTGTTATAACCAAATAATTCTTGGTAAAGCATATTTTCTTACCACCAAATCTTATGTTCATTCATTTATATTTTCAGTAATTGAACAGATTTTAACTGAACACCTACTAAATGTTAGGTGCTATTGCAATACTAGAAGTAAAACAAACCTTTTTCTTTTCCCTTTTGTCCTGATGGACTTATAGTTTAATAGGGGACAAACAATAAAAAATAAGTCATCAACATCGGGACTTTAAGTAATTGATCTCTAAAACCAATTTATATTAGGAAATATATTTTCTGACTAAGCAATCTATTTTTATGTAGGTAAAAGCAATTAGAAAATTAGCAAAAAGTCATCATGGAATTAGAAAAAAGCCATCATGGAATAAAGTCTAACTTATGAACTAAGAAAAAGAAAGAAAATAAAGAGAAGGAAGGGAGGTAAACAGAAAATAGGAAAAGGAATTGAAGACAGAAATTAGGAAAAGGGACCTATTCTCTAGTACATAAGTATCTCTGTATGCTTGGACAGGCCTAATGCAAAGTACCTATCCCCACCAAAAAATCACTAGAAAATGCAGAAACCCTACTTCCTAAAACATCACTTCTTTGATAGTTAAGCTGTTGTCTAAGTTAAGACAAACTTTATACAACTATATTCAAAATCTTAAGCTCAGGGCTTACTTTACCACTACTATTTATAAATGGGAATAAGAACAGCTAGTGATTTAATAAAACAAATACAGACTGGCCATAAATACCTTCAAAATCATTTAGGAATCAGAAATTTTCATAATACATCTGGGAATAAGACACACTTGGAAGGTGAAATTGTAATAACAATGTTGAGTGATTCCTCGTGTAAAGAGCTTAGAAGTCACCCTCTGTTCTAAGAAGTAAAGGGCTGAAGAGACTGAAAAAATCCACTGTTCTATCTGTAAGAAAGAGGAAGACACAGTACAAACCACTGCCTCCAAGATTACAAATACAAGGAACTGTGGCTTCCTGGAGCAGAGACTCAAGAGCAGAAACCACCTCCGGCAGCCCAGTGTTGGGGTTGAGGCTGGAGCTCTAACTGAAGAATCATTGGAGCCTCAATGTGGACAACTGAGGGTTAAAAATTCTAGGGGGATCTAGCCAAAGGGGGTGCCCCAATATTGTGAGATTTACCCAGGAGTTCATCTAAACTGCCATTGTTTAAATATCAATAAAAACCTCCCACTGCTTCCTGCCAGAGAAATGGAAAATGAACCGTTTGGAAACAGTCAGAGCACTCTGTTCTTAACTTGGCCTGCCCTCAGGGAAAACTAGTTAACCAGATCATAACTTGCTGGGTTATTAACAGAGCCTAACTGACCTGGAGGAAGGCAAATCCCCAACTTCAGCTCCCTTGGACCCTCCTGCCCCAACTAAGGGGGGAGGAAAAAAACTGTGATCCACTTGTGAAGGCACAGTCCACAGACACAAGCTCACAAAAAGACTGAGATCTAATTATAGGACTAGCAAACACTTCCTCTTCCCTCTCAGCACCTCACAACCACTGTACTAAAGGCCTGTTTACAACAGTTCCTTTTACCCGGTACAGCATGTCTGGCTATCAAGACAAAAACTGCAAGGCACACAAAAAGGCAGAAAGTGCGATTTAAAGAGACAGACCAAGAATCAGAACCAGACATGGCAGTGATGCTGGAATTATAAGACCAGGAATTTAAAACAACTATGATTAATAGGCTAAGGGCTCTAGCAAATAAAATAAAGAGCTTGCAAGAACCAATGGGTACTGTAAGAAGAGAGATGGAAATCCTGAGAAAGAACCTAAAAAGAAATGCTAACTTAATGTGCCTTACTATACCAGCAATTGTGAAGATCCATCAGAAATTGGACAATTTGGAAATCACACTGCACTGATTCTACATACCCCTTTCCTCCTTGTAAATTCTCTGAGATATTTTATCTATCAAGTTAATTTTATGGCTAAATGTTTCAATAAGGTTGTTCATTTCCATGAACTCCTCTGGGCGGCTTTTAACTCCTCTCATCGACATTGCAACAGCTCTGACTGTCTGCCCCATCCTGCTGAGGAATCCGGGCCCTTGCTTCTTATGAGAAGAAAGTTCCTAGAAACAAAAAAAAAACAACAGTGGAATATTAGCGGTGAAGCAAACAACAGTAGTCCAGAACCAACAAAAAAGAGTCCTAATTAGAAAAATAAAGAGGGTATAAACATTTCCTATATGTCTTTTTGTTGTTAGTTTGAAGCAGATGAGTTTTATTGGTATAGTTCTTTCTCTAAGTCTCAAGCATATTCTTTTTCAAAGTACTTATTTAAAATGTATATAAGTGTTCCCTTAGAGCATGGATCTTTACAAGAATCAGGTTTAACAGAGGAAACTGTACTGAAGGAGATACTGCATAAGATATGAAGGTGATGTGGAATGCACTCTATGTTTTATAACAGAGTTTAATGAAAAAGTGATTGACAGAAGATATCTCAGGGTCTAAACTACATCCTGAATAAAAAACTGGAAAACTTCATTACTTCTTTAATATAATAACATTTATTGAGACCTTAATATGTTCCAGGCACTATACTTGCATCTTTTTATACATAACTCACAGTAACACTATGAGGTAGGTTCTATTACTATCCTCATTACAGAAGGAGGCACAGGAAGAGTAGAGACCTTGCTCAAGGTCCAGGAACATTTAGGTGGTAGACAAGGAAAGCCTCAGCAGTTTGACTCTAGAGACTTTACTGCTAAGCACTAACCTGCTTTGTCTTCTTAAAGTCACTAGGCTAGTTCATAAACAGATACCCCCAACCACAGCTTGTGAACCAACTGAAGTGGGTAAACTGTGACACTACCTCCCCTGGCCTGCCAGCTGTAGAGAAAGATTTTTAAAAGATATGTAACTAGCTGTTTCATAGTTAACTTAGGAGAGATAGCTAAAGAGTTGCAAAATAAAAGAAATGTTATAAAAGGATACTCTATACAAAAGTATCCCTTCATGAGTATGGCTTACTGCCGAAGAACAGCAAGAAAGAGAGCAAGGGATTCTGATGATGGCTGGGGCACTTGTTGAAACACAAGCTTTTTGGACCAAATAAAAGTTGAAAAGGAACACGAAATAAAAAGAACTATAAACAACAATGCTGACTATCAAATCCACAGATAAAAATATCATTATGTATTATTTAAATAATATATTATCTTTCTCCAGATTTTCTTTCCTGACGGTCTTACACAAAAAAATACAAACTTACTTATTTCTAAATCAGTATGATTTTGTGTGCAAATAAAAACAGATAACCTCCTTGACTAGGCCATACATCTTTTCAGTGGTCCTATAGCATCACCTGATAGAAACATCAGAAGACAGCACAGGTCACAGTTGGTGACTACAGAGGATGTTGCTAACAGCTCCTAAGGTTCTGGAGTCAGGCCACAGATTCTTTCATGTAAGTCACAAGGACTTCCAGACAGCAGGACTGTCAAGATCGAGACGAACTGCTTTTTAACTCCTATCACTTTGACAACAACTGAGATATAAAACTCAACACTGGTCAGTAATTGTTTAATATTGACTATTTGTCCTATCCATGATCTTGGTGAGTTTTATCATCATAGGAGAAAAGAAAAAGAAGAGGAACACATGAGGTTTGTACATTAGAGATTAGACACCCTCACATTATGTTACTGAAGTAAAAATAAAGAAACTATATAATCTAGCTAGCTAGCCATCCATCCTTCCATCCATCCATCTACCCTTCCAACTATCCAGTTCCTATAGACCTTTATCCTAACTTAAAAAGCCCTGACTCATTATTACTCAAAATAGTGTCAAAGAAATATATTTGTGTATATTCAGTATTGGCTATATATGAAAGGAGTACCTTGACATTAAAAACAAAAAATATGAGGAAGATACAAGATTTCGATAATATTTACATGTAGATTAGACACAGGGTTAAACATGAAGGTATCTCTACAGTGTTTAAAAATCTATCTTAATTCAAGGACACTGCTGTCTGATTTACAGAGGTAAGCAAGAGGAAGCGTACAGCCTACCATACATACAGACACTAAACAATTATATAAGTATAAATCAAAACTCTTTACCCAAGCTTGTGCAGTGAGAAAAATTTTGAAGTCTTCATTAAATGTTAAAGTTGGATGATCAGCAATTCGGTTCAAGAATTTATGTAACGCCTTCCTGCGTGTCTCAATGAAGTCATCATTAAAGCGTTCCACCATTCCTTTCACTATGAACTTTTCTGGCAACGGCTAAGGCAAAAAATTTTAAAAAGGTATCTGAGCCTTCTATAGCACTGTAAGGGATTATAAGGAATTCTAACACCTTTTCTTCTTGGAAGACTATTTGAACATGTGATTATTTCTCATAAAAATCATTTTTCAAAATTCATGACGCTAAAACCAAACAACTGCAAAATCTTAACATATTACCATAGTTTAAAAAAGCAAAACTGTACATAGATTGAAATGTTTAAAAACAAATGTTACTAAGATAAATGAATTACCTGAATTTAAAGGTCTAAATGAGGTTTTAGACATTCTAACTTTACTTAGAATTCAAAAGGCAAAATGGCACCTATTCTATGAAAAAAATACATAAACTTACTGGGATAATCAGTGTGGGGTGTGCTTCTTCAAGTTTCCCTTTCAACCAAAGGAAATCTTGATACCGTCTCCTAACTTCAAATTCACTGGAGTCAAATTCCCCACGAGATGTCTGAGGAAAGTAGGAGAAAGTAAGACAGAAGACATTTGCTAAATGTTATTTTAGACATTATGAAATATATGGGTCTTGAAGAAAAATTAACAAATTCTAATTATTCAGTGTTTGTCAGCCTGTGCTTTTTTTCCCTGCAGTCATTAATTCATGTAGCAGATGAAACAAAGGAAACTTTCCAGTATTTCAAGAAAGAAAGCAAACATCATGCTCAAATTTAAAATCCAAACTGAAAAATCTGTCTTAAAGCAACCATCTGCCTTCCACAAGATTTTAACTACTATTATCTTTGGCATGACTTTCTTGCTAACAAGACAGTGTGTTCTGAATTTAGATTTCAAATATATTTCTTTCTCAAGATGATTAGAATTCAGAATTTGAGGAAAGTCCTATTTTTGCAATTTGGAAAATAACCTGAACATAACTGAGAAAAAAATGTTTTCCTGGAATTTGCTCAAATGAATTGCTTTGCTAAAATTTGCTTTTAGTATATGAAAATTACAAAATTACAGGGTAATTTTACCACTGTTTTAAAATGTTATTAATGGAGATTTCATATGAAAAGAAAATCCTCCTGTCATTTCTTCGAGAATTTTATTTTTAATTGTATGCCTAAATTACTAAAAATTAAGCAAATACATGAAAATACCTGTTTTCAACAAACCAAAAATCTATGCCAACATATATGATAAGAAGGGTACAATATCAAACTCACCTTTATTGCCTGAATTCTAAGCCAGATACAAAAACAGATTATCTAATGCATATTCATCTATCATAAAAGAGTTCACTCCCACCAATATCTTAATTAATGAATTTCTACATTTAAAAAATTATACATAGTAATACAAAGATTGAGATTTTCCTGGAGGAGGAAAGATGGAGTAGCATATTGCATACATATTTCACATTCACCAGAAATATCAATCACCCACACAGATGAACACAATTGTAAAATTAAGTAGTTCAATCATAAGATACCATCTCAAGTGTCATGAATAAGACTCATAAAAGCTATACTTCCAAAGTTTATTCTTTGAAAATGAATTTTTAGAGTATCATACAATATATCTTAGCAAAACATTCCCTTTTTAGTCGGAAAAAACTGGGAGTAAATGAGATGAAGAAGTCTGAGAAACTCAATATTCACAAAACACTACAAAATCTTAACTATGTTACAAGTTACGGAAATGGTAAAAATAGGAGAACCAAATCTAAATAGAAACATAGCTTAACAATGTATATACAAGTTGGTATGTGTACATGTATATGGCAAATACACACATACATGCATATATTCACATGCACACAAAACATGGCTTAGAGTCACTCATTTAAAAATATTTATTGTACATCTCCTTGTATCAGGCAGATATGTACAGGTTTATTATGCTAACATAACTAACAATAAAAATACTCAAAAACTGGGCAATTTAAATAAGGCTGAGCTTTGTATGTCTACAAGAATTTTCAAGACTTTAAATAAACAGAGAGCAACCTGATATAAATTTCAGTGAGAGGAAGATATAAAATCAAGTCAAATAATTGGTTGATTCTGTCCTCATTGGTCTATCATTGACTAAAAAGAGTTCCTCAACAAACAGAATAACAGAAGAAAACAGAAGTAAAAGCCTCAAAGATCGTGTATTCTTCCTTCCTACTGTAAAACTTATTCTATTCCTAAAGAGTTATAAGATTAAGATATGACAAGGAAGACAAGTATTATCAGTTGAGTTCAGATCATAACTAATTCCCCTACAGCAGGAATAGAATCATGTCCCATCTCAAGTGGCCAATTTGGGGCATTAGAAGGTAGATAAAAGCTTCCAAATTGTAGGAATAATGAGATTTGACAACATATCTCCAATTTAGAAAGAACATGTTTTCTAAAAAGTTAATCTGAAGCACAAGCAATGCTTCTATTCTAGAATATAGTTTTCTATGGAAGCTATATTGTAAATGGCATTTAATTTTTCATGTCTGACCATAAAACCTCAGGTGTTTGAAGTTTAGCATGAAAGGACTCATGTGACCTGAACCCCAGCGTGCACTCATTCAATAAATACTGACCTTCAGTCAAGGGCAAACAGTCACTAAGCTCTGAGCATTGAGAAAACTGTTTCTGAGGGAATATCAATCTCAGAATCAAGAAGATACTCTAACCCCTACCTGCACACTGTCAGACACTTAGGAATTTGTCATAATGATGAAGATATGAGAGGAAAGAACTTATTAAATCTTAGTTCTTACTTAGATATGTACTAAAGGAAGGCACATCTCTAGATCTCCAAAAGCTAAAGTATTTCTTCAGAGCAGTCACTTCAGATATACTAACCTGGAGAATAAAGGGTCATTTCCCATAAGGGGATCAACTGCCAGGAAACTGGGCTTCCTGATACGGTTATTTACAGTCAGGTTATTCTTCAGTGTTCCTGCATAGCAGATTGTCAGTGCATGTATGTATATGTGTGTAAATGCATTTATCCTTATAATTTTAGTGTCTATGAATATAAATTTTAATACTAAAACTTCCCCGAGGAAGTTGTTTCTGAACCTCCAAATTAGATGGAGTGCCCCATGCTTATAAAATCCTGTATTTTTCTTTTTTCTTTTTTCTTTTTTATTAAGGTATTATTGATATACACTCTTATGAAGGTTTCACATGAAAAAAACAATGTGGTTACTACATTTGCCATATTATCAAGTCCCCACCCACCCATACCCCAATGCAGTCACTGTCCATCAGTGTAGTAAGATGACACAGATCCACTATGTGCCTTCTCTGTGCTACACTATAAAATCCTGTATTTTTCTGTCAGCATTTATAATGATAATTAAATAATTAAGCATATAACTGTTTAATACCCATCACCCCGCTAGACTGAAAGCTCCATGAAGGCACAGGGGGTCATTAACTGGGACATAATTGGGGCTCAACAAAAGTTTTATTGAATAGATGAGTAAATAAATATAGTGATAATAAGTGAGTAACAAAGAAAAGACTATGCTTGATAATATAATATACATATATTAAATGTTTATTAATTTGTATCTATAATGCTTATTTTAATATATACAGGTATATTCTGTTACTATATAACAAGATAAAACAAAATTAATTGGAAAAAGAACAAAGTGACTTAGTTTATAATAGTTAAACCTTTGCCATAACCATAGAGATATGCACAAAAATATAATGGAAAACATGTATAATCAAACTAAAGTAAATGTGGTGTAACCTTTGACAACTTATTGAGTTTCAATGCACAAATGGGGGTAAATTATAACATCTAGGGCCTAGATTGCTATAAGCTTTAAATGAGCTAGTATGTATAAAGCGCTTAGAACATTGCCTGTGACAAAGTAATAGCACAACAAACATTATTGGTTTAACACACTGTAATACTATTACTGTTGCTACTAATCCTACATTTAGAGTATGATGTAACTATGGATAACTCAGAATTATATGTCCATGATCGGAATGAAATCGATAAGGTGGGTTCTAAAGATTATCTTTCTCAGAGAAATAAATGATGGGAAAATATTTTAGTTTCACAAATTCATTTCTAGGAAGGGTAATAACAGTTGATGATTATAACAGTAGTTACAAGAAAAATCTGGCTCTATTCATAGCAACATATCTGTATTAGCATATTAAATATTCAGAAAGACCCTACAAGAATAGTACTGTTATCTTACTTACAAATGAGGAAACTAAGCATAGGAAGTTCATTAAATTGCTCAAGACATATAGCAAGGAAGAGGAAGAGGAAAGGTTCAACTCCAGGCTGTCCTGCTACACAGCCTCTTGCTAACCGATGGATATGATACCATAAATTTCTTCATTCACTCAAACATCAAAAAGTTACATTGCTTACTTACTATAGCTAAGGATTGTCTTTGGAATTACGAATAACTTAAGATACAATTGTCTTCCTTGAGAGGATCACAGACTCCTTGGGAATAAATACAAATAAACACACAGTTACCTACTCATGTACAGGTAGGTGCCAATTAATGAACATGTATTAGGTATCAGGAATTTTGCTTAGTGTTTTACATTGATTACCTATCCAAAATCAATTCTTACAGCAACTCTACAGAACCAAGTTCCATTATCACTCAAGTTTTATAGATTAAAAAAAAAAAAGCCTGAGGCTTAGAAGGGTTAAATGTAGGCTTTTAATTTCTTTGCTACTCTGACTCCAAAGTTTTACATTATTTAGGAGTTCATTTAGGACAGAAGGAGAAAACAGAGGAAAGAGGATAATCAGCCTATGCATAGGCAAGATTTTCAGGTGTGTCTTGAATAATAACAGTTCTCCTGCCTAGAACTGGGAATTATAAACCATACAGGAGGAAAAGTATATGCAAAGTTGTGAGAGCAAGAATGCCTACAATACTATACCTTAAACAACAGAAGATATTCTATGTGAGTGGAGAGCAGGGGGATTAAATGTGGGGAATAAATGATGATCCATATATGCTTATTGGCAACAGACTGAGACGTTCTTTATATGTCATATAAACGGGTTTGTACTTTATTTCATAGGAAATGAGGAGCAAAGAAAGAATTTTAAGAATCTGAGTGTAGAAATCAGATGTATACATTTTTATGAAACATAACGAACCACAGTGTAGAGACTGCACTGGAGGAAGTGATTATAGGAAGAAGATCCAAAACCTTTTCAGTTACAAAAGAGACATACTACAAATGAGATAGTGAGGCTTAACAAACAAAATATAACCTGTAAATAGAATTCTTAAAGGCTGACATTACATAAAGGACATTGCTTTATTTTGGCAGAGGTCAACTGTCTTTTTTGCAGAGCTGTGTATCAGGATTAAGGAAGCTGGGGTTCTAGATCTACTCTGCCCTTGAATTACTGGATGAGTCACAGTATCTCATATATAAAATATAGTGATCACTTGTTCTTATTTGGAAAACAAATGAAATTACTTTTTGTGATCTTCAGAAGAAATGGGAATCTAAAATA